GTTATAGGATATTGAATGTTGTAGGTTTCCAATGGATATCATAAAGAAAATAATACTAAAATGTAAATATTCCAAGATAACAACACGTTGATACTGTTTGACGAACATTTCCATCATATGTAAACTCTTTGATACAAAATTTACCATTTGAGTTAAAAATAAAGGACTTTAGACTTCTCAACATTAACCTGTAGTTTCCAATTAGAACAATATGTTTCAAGGATGTTCAAACAATTCAGTAACCCAGTTTTACTTTCAGATAATAAAACAATATCATCAGCATATAATAAACAATTTACAAAGATTTCATCAATTTGAACAGGATCGCAATTGCCTGTTTTAAGTTCATCAGCAATACCATTAATAAAAATTTTGAAGAGAGACGGGCTTTAGATATAAACTTTGCTTAACACCACATTCAGATGTAAAACTTTTACTGAGACCATTAGCAAACTTTTTCTTAGTTTTCGTATTCTCATACATAGAATATATAATATTGGTGTGTATATTAGATTTCAAAAGTTTATTTTTAAAAAGTCCAACCCTCCATATAGTTTTTTTTGTTTGTTTGAATGTTGTTTAACGTCCCTCTCGAGAATTTTTCACTCATATGGAGACGACACCACTTGCCGGTGGAGAGCTGCAAATTTTGTCCTATACTCGGCACTTGCGGCCATTGAGCAGTGAGGGATCTTTTTCGTGCCAGCAACTACTGCGACACGGGACCTCGGTTTATACGGTCTCATCACGTCCCACAGTGGGATTCGAACCCGCGACGTAAGGATCAACTCCTTACCTCGCGACTCCAGAGCAGACGCTCTAACCACTGCGCCACGCGGGCGGCCCCTCCATATAGTGTCAAATGCTTTACGGAGATCAATAAAAGCTGTATAAGCCTTTTGCTTTTTGTTTTCATAATACTCTGATAATACTGATATACAGGTATTCTTATTTGTAAAAATATAAGCTGATGGCTCTGCTTTTTTAAACCAAAGTTTCCTTAGGTTTGATGTGATGCAAATACCGTTGTAATTACAAGGATCAAGTTTGTTACGAGATTTAGGTAAGAGTACCAAAATACTTTTATTCCATCGAGTAGGAAATTGCCCTGAATTTAAAATAAAGTTGGACAGTTTTTGTAGTCGTTTCAGTAATACACTGCCTCCATTTTTTAACATCTCATTTGAAATTAGATCCATTGTTACAACGCACTTTGAAAAATTACGCACTTTGAAAAAATTTTCAAAGTGCGTTAATTTTGGGACCACGTTAACGCACTTTGAAAAAAAATGTTTCTTTTCAAAGTGCGTTAATATCGACCATATAACGCACTTTGAAAAAAATGTGAATGGCTTGGTCAATATCCTTGCAAATTTTAGGCATGATAAGTAATTATTTTAACCTGGTTTGATAACTTTTCGGCGATGACGTCAGGAACTGAGATATAGATGTTTTAAAGATTTTTAGGAGTTGTCTTGTTTCCAAAGGTTCTCATAACTGTAATAAAAGGGAAATGGGTCTTAGAAATAATGGAGGAATGATTGTTTAATAGCACAGTTTCGTTTCTTTTTTCCTTTTCTTTTTTAAATTTCATCCAGTCTCTAATAAGTTTGGTAGATGTAGGTGTCGATAAGTGACTTAAAGCATTGCATTTTTCTTAGGAAAAGGGAGCAATTATGATTTTTCCATACCATGAAAATTCCCTCTCCGTCTCTCTCTCTCTCTCTCTCTCTCTCTCTCTCTCTCTCTCTCTCTCTCATCTATTTTTCTATCATATTCATCTATCTATCTATTGTGAACATATATAAAACGATGGTTGACTCATTTATTTGATAGTAAGAGAATAAACCTTAGCCACATTACTCACTCGACTGAAATTTTTACCTCAATTTTATCAATAAAGTTATGCAGTCAGATTACTTCTAAATCTGTAATTCGATATCATAAAAACGCTAGACATGTCAAATAGCATGTTTTAATTACCATGTACATGCATTTTTCTGACGAATCATTGTGGATACATTTTGAATAAAGGTTATGCGGCTCTCTTCTTTAATATAATACAATGTGTAATTTTTTTTTCAGGAAAGCTTATCTCAATTTTTTCATCTATTTTACGTTAACTCAAATTTATTGAGAGAAACAATATCAATGTCAAACCAGTTATGTAAATACATATATTTGTGTAGGAAAGATAGAGAGTTGGGCTGAGGGACTTTCTACCTGTTTTCTCCTCGTTCTCGATGAGGGTAGATCAATTCATCAGTTTTTCGGAAGAAATATAACAAATTAATACTGTTTATTATTAAAATCGAAGACCAGAATTTTTGTTTTATACGTATTTTTTCAAAGTGCGTCAAGTGTCTCCATGGTAAAAAATGTTGATGTACACTCTTAACGCACTTTGAAAAAAAAATTCAAAGTGCGTTGATTTTGTTCAAAATTTAACGCACTTTGAAAAATTGTTTACAAAGTGCGTTGATTTTGTCCCAATTTTAACGCACTTTGAAAATTTTTTTCAAAGTGCGTTGCCACAATCCATTGATATTCCTAACTTGTTTTAGATTCTTTCATGGCATGTGGAAATCATTGATTGCTATTTGCAGTATTCAGTGTTTTAAAATACCAATAAAATATTTCACAGGGAAGATCAGGAGAAGTGTTATACATATTCTTCGTGTTATCTAATTTCTGCAACATTTTCCAAAATGTGTTAGGATTGGTATCAAAGTCATTGCTAACTTCATTACAATTTTTTTGTTTGCATGATTTTTCTTCATATTTGCATACTAGCCTTAAATGTGTAAAGAGTTTTCTATATTGACCATTAAAAGGATTTTGATTTCAAAGATCAGTGCATGGCGCGGTAAACCATGTCTTTTGTTGCATCTACAGGATTTGAATTTCGATATTTTAGCTACATATTTTGTTGAGGGTTTTGCACAATCTTTCAGAATAGTGTTAAATGCGTCACTATTTTCATAATCACTATCTATATCTTATTTTTTTTTTTTTTTTGGACATAAATAAAATTATATCATATAAAGGTGCATGCAGATATTGAGCTTATACATAATTTCATTTTCGACATAGGATAACAGTCACGTACCCCCCTTTCCCCGAAAATGCTCAAAGACAACAAAGTTTTGCAGAAATAACGGTTGATTACCGCTTAAATGGGGAAAACACAATCATGCAAATTACATGTCCAATTTATTTATCTTAGCCTTATAAAATATTAAGAATTCTTGAATTGATTACAAATTGAGAAATACCCTGAAGATTTTAAGTAACTTTAGTTTTTAGATCACTCTACTGCATAAAAGTACCACAGAATTAGACCTTTTTAGTGTGCTGTGTATAAAGAGTCCCTAAGGCTACTCATACGCAGATCTAAAGGGTAATCGGGGTCCGTACCCCCCCCCCCCCGGAATTTCAAATAAAAAATTTCTATGCAAAAATAACGGAAAAAATGACCTTGAATCACCTTGGGAAACACGGTCCCTATTAAATTGGTAAGCAGACTCAAGTATCCGAAGGAAGTCGACTTAGGAAAGTGTCTTCTCATACCCCAACCCCTCTCCCCTTTATGAAATAGGTTTTTCAGGTTTGGGGAAGTTATTTTTTTTCTTTTTTTGCTAGTCAAAAATTTTCTGAGTTTGATATCTGTTATAGTTGATGTGCCACCCCCCCCCCCTCCTCCTCGGAACAAAATTCCTGGTTATAGACAGAAATACACATAAATGGGTTTGTAGCTATCATATAAACTTTTTTGCAATTGTCAAGAACTTCTTTTAAAGAACCACGATTTAGTATTTTATATTTAAAAAATGTGACAGTGTAGCGAAGTATAAGATCTCAGAAAGTCTTGATCGAAATCCTGAATTTATAGCAAAAACATGGATTTGCGCCTCAAATTTGACGCTTGGAACAATTTCTTGTATTATCAGTTTATAAAAGAACACACATCTTTATTGTCACCAAGCTCAAAATTCTGTATTTAAGAAAAAAGGTCAAATTGTTGTTGACCAAAACCTCAGCGACTTTCTTCTGATTATTCATACGACGGCACATCTTTATACAATTTAAAATAAAAGGCGGAGGGACTTATCCTACAAGTATTGAGTAGCCTATAATGTGTATGCTATTTTAGTACCTTCTCAGCATCGAAGAACGGTTGGTATTTGTTGCATTCGTTGTGTTGGACACATTCTTCATTCAGTGCCCAATCAAAATGACTGACAAGGGAAGTAATTTGATCCACATCGTTCTTCAGTCCAACTGATAGACTACGGGAATGTGCCTCTAAAAAGATTTTAAAAAACTAAAATTAAAAAAAAAAACATGCTAATCATTGTCACTTTTTGTGATGAGTGTTCGCAAAGTATATTTTTGATTTCTTCAATGTTGAAAGCTTACAAACCATAGAGAAAATTGGAAGTCAGAATGCTTGTTGGGCTGGAGGTTTAAGACTTTTGACCTTTGACTTACTTAATTCAACATGAAACCCTTTCAAAATAAACATTGTTGCTATTTCAACAGACGGATTAAGACTGTATAACAACTTTAGGTAAATGTAATACAGAATACTAGTAACTGGATTTGGTAAATTATGAACATCTATAAAAATTATTTTATTTCAGTTACTGGATACAAGTATGAGTTGGCGAAATCCAAAATATAATGAGTTTGAAAACCATTTAACCTTTTTAAATACAAACCTCCATGATCCGTTTTTGAAATGGATTTGCAAGATCGAGTAATAGGATGAACAAAATGTATGGGTTTTTTTTATTAATATGATTATAAAATACAACTTTGAAAATAATTTTTCCCCCTTCACTTTAAAGTTATGCGATAACAGTATTAGACAAAATCTTTCCTTCATTTTTAAGTATACAATGTATATAATTTTGGAACCAGTCTAATTCTAAAATGCATTTAGCCCAAAGAAATCCCAATCAATATAATTTTTAAGAAAAAGAGACACGTGCCACTTGCCAGTCATTTGTTGTAGGACAGTTGATCGCTTGCTTTCAGGCCCAGTCCGTTATTGTTGGAGTAGCCATCAACATTGTCCGGTTCCACCCCGTCACACCTTCGTGAGATAGCCTTGTCAAGTCGTTTTCGCATGATAGCTTTTACTCTTTAAAAAAACGGAAGTTCTAGTTTTCATGATATGGAAATAATTGACAGATTTGTAAACAATTCAAGTTTGATCACTCGCTATTCTCTCAGGGCCCTTACATACATGGAAATCATTGAGACCTTTGCTTTGGGCCATTACAACTTGCCCGATCTCTTTTCGATCTCTGAAAGCCTCAGTAAGTCAGTTTCTGTGTAAATATTTTTTATTATCATAAAGCACTTCTTGAAAAATTGGGGATATTGTTGAGTTCACTGAGCTAACGGTGCTCAAAAAGAAGTACACTCTAAAAGATCCCTCGCAGATTTTTTTTCTTTCTGTATCGACCTCTGAGAGTTTGTCGGATGATTACTTTTTGAACAATCGAATCGAGATCATGGATTGAGAGAAATATGGATATACACTGTAGGTGGGAGATCAAGTGTAACTAAGAGATATCACTGTAAGAAAACCAAAAGAGACCACTTAGAGATCGAATGCGTTCAAATTTTGCGTTCTTTGAAAGACTTCTGAGAGATCACTGGGAGATCAAAGAGATCGCTATGCAATTTTCTGCGTTTTGGGGGTGACCTTTGAGAGACTGATTACTTTTGCTATCGTTGGAAGACTGTTGGTAGAATCAATGTGGAGACCGCGGAGTCTGTATGACCTGTGTGAGACCACTGGAATAGCATGGCGATGGCTGGGGATTGAAAGATCGTTAAGAGATCTGGCCCATTATGTCTGCTTCGCTCAACAATCTCTCAATGTTCGCATCCCCAGTGTAAAGGGTGTTTAAAGAGAATATAGATGCGAACATTTCTGGCATTTAGCTACTTCCTGTGTAACTATTGAATATATTTCTATCCGGTTAACAGGAATGTCTACATAGGCTTCTACTTATATGTATCTTTGATAAATCATAATTTTTTGCAGAGAATTGGATTTCCGTCAATGTTTCCTGTATTCCTGTATGTACTATAATAGTATCTTATTGGTATACCTTTACAGAGGTGTATGTTTAGCCTTAAGTTGCATACATGTTTTTATATGCTGATCAAATAGCCATTTTCATTTTATCATGTTTCTTTAAATAACTCCAATATTAAATTGTGATCAATTTTATGAAGGAATTATTGTATTGAATGAGAACCTGTCATCTCGAATGTCCAGCCATTTTTCACCCTCCCAATCCTCTAGATTGTTACCAAGGACATCCGAAGGGAACTCGTTCTTGTCCGGACGCCAGTTCTCATAACTTCCAGCAGAAAAATAACAAATCACTTTTCGTCCCATGCTGAAAAGCAAAAGTATTGTTTGACCTGCATGGTTTACATGATCGTAGTGGGAACGTGCTATGAACTGAAATTGGAAGAGCACTTGTAACTCCTATGCGACTTGTCAATTTGGGTAATATTTGATGGTATGTTAATTTAATTTTTAAATTTAATTTACTATAATATAAATTTACCTGTGAAGTTTATCGATGGCACTCTGATCGGCATCAAACAAATCAATATCGAAGACATGGGCGTTCACTGATGTAACAATATGTCCAGAACTAAGTTCCCATTGCCACGTATCATGTACACTCGGTTTCCATACAGCACCACAAACTGCCGAAAACAACACAAAGACCACTGACCAGCGACACATTGTATGATAGTCTTTAATAGGTCATGATAAGAATAACTTCAATAAGATACAGGTATACAGTTCTGCAGATATATACCATTACCAAGGTCATTTGTGGCACATGGATTCATTAAATTCACGTAACATGTGGTGCTCAAATTTGTGTTTTCGAAAGTACTGCGTCGTATTTATTTAGCTTAAAAACCGTTGTCAACACTGCAAATGAGTACACAGATTTTTCTTTTAAAAGATTCTTTTAAAAAGAAGTCGAACGTTCAATAGATAAAAAAATTTAAAAATATATAAAATGTTTAAAATTTTTTTTTTAAACTTTCCCGATTTATCTTATCCCTCCTTTAACTTTTTTATAAAAATATTTAGCTTGTATTTAAATCTTTATTAGTAGTACTTCTCGTTTCCTGCAGTTTTTATTTTTCATTTCTTTTCATTTAATTATTCATTTGTGCTTTTTCTTTTTTTTTTTCTTTTTTTTTTTTAAGAATTTCGGGGACAAATTTCACAATATTCTCAAATCAAAGCAAGAGCAAATCATAAATCATAAAAATGTTACTTTTTCCCTAATAATTTTAACACCCAAATGTACTGCGTTGTTTTGGGTACTACAATTTCAAAACAATTGATATTTTAAAATGTTACAGTATTTTTAAAGAGGCTATTTAATGTTTTGAGTTGGATACACTGTATATGGAATTTACTTGGCAGCTTTGGGGGGAAAACCGTCTCACTTGTGAATTCCTTTTTATATACATGTACAACTTCAAAACATTGAATTTTATGTTAACTGCAGTATTGGTTTTCTTCGGTTTTCTTATTGTCCATTGTTGAAATTCGAAACAAATATTACGATGAATGTATGTGCTTATAATAATGATGCAAAATAAATAAATAAATAAAAAACAAAAGTAAAATTCAGTAATTTGCCAACTTTAATTTAAAACTTATTGTGGTTATTTTAACGTTAAAATGTGAAAGAATTCGTTTGATATACATGTAAGAATGACCACATTTTAGCAAAATTGTGCTGCCATACGGTACTTTGATTATTATTTTTACACTGTGAAAATAACACTTTTGTTATCTTTTAAATGTCAGTTTTATTCAGTGGATAAATTACAGCATTTCACAGTTGAAAATTTTAATATACCTTCATAATATTGGAAATGCGTTTAAAAACATATTTTTGTGCATGTGGCTGTAAGTATTGTTAAATTTCAGCATTTTTTTCCTGTTTAGTTGTATAGTTGTAAAAAGATAAATATGTGAAGGCAATTTTATCATTTAAAACCCTTGAATTTGAGGAGCTTCCGGGGGTATTGCCTTCTAGCCGCAGACTCCTAGCCTTTTTTTTAATTCAGTAATTTGCTGATGCAAGTATTTAGTGTCTTTGAATTGAATTGGTGATTTGAACTATATTATCTTTTATTCAGAACGAAGGGACAGTAGATACATTTTCGACAAAATCTTAAAATCTATAAGTCTTTCTATTTGCCTTTAAAATATTGTCATTTCGAAAAAAAATATCACTTCTTAATAGAGCTGAGAAAAAACAAAATCAAATATCTTTATATATGAAAATTTTACATAGATACTATTCCTCAAATGTCTATAATGTTAACATTATCTTGTGATTTCTAAACCGTTTTCAAAGTGTCTTAGAAAAATGTGATATTGACAATTCAAATGTTTTCAAATAGGATTATAAAGGAAACATAATCCTCTGGTATCTTGCACAAATCCCTGGTAAAGTACCTCAATTTTTTGCGATGAAACGTGTTAAAGTAGCAGTACTTCAATGACAAATTCTTGGGGAAAAATTATATATTATTGAGGAACATGTTGTCTGACCTTAATTTTCCCGAGAACAGATCTGTGGCTTCGGACAACAGATCCAGTCATTAAACAGCTGTCGCCTATCACAATTTTGTTATACAGAGCTAGTTTTATTTGCTAAGTTTTGTTTTGATGAGTTGGAACTTTATATATACTTTTATCACCATTCAGTTCAAAGGAAAAACTACAACAAATTTTTTATGTACGGAATTTTTAATGTGAACAACAATTAATTAACTTGAGATTTTGAAGCTTTTGAAAATAGGGCAATCAGTCAAAAGATCGTAGTGAAAATTTTTATTTATCAGCAAAAAGTTGTTTTTTTTTAATTTTTATAGTATATGTATAGGAGTTCCGAGACAAAAATGAAGGTGTTAAATATATGTGACTTAAAACTTAAATGATACATTTTCTTGTTGATAAGTGTACAATGCCTTTTTAGATTTTGCTTTGATGTTGCTGTGGTGTATTTGCCAGAAGAATCAGTTTTTTAAGTCACGCCCACTTTCTGGCATCAGACCAGACTGTGACAAGACCTTGACTGATGAATGAATGATGTTAATTTCCAGACCTTGGCAATGGCTGATGAATGAATGAAGTCAACATTTTTAATTTAAAAAATACTAACATTAACTTGCCAAATTTTGCCTCGTAATTTTTCCCGTATTTTTTCTATGCGTTTCCTTATTCAGTAAATTATAGTTCTTTCTCGAATTCTCGTCTTTCTATTTTCTTTCTCCAAGTACATACATGTAGCAATTTAACATCAGAAGTCCCTGCGTTTTTTTTACTTCATCATGGCCGTAGGAACCGGGGGGGGGGCACGGGGGGGGCTATAGAATACTATAGAAAATATAGTTACTATATGCTTGTGCCCCCGTCAATACTAACATCTGATGACCTTTTTTTTTTTTTTTGCTTGTCAAGAAATTTTGGTAGTTGATAGTGCCCCCCCCCCCAACTGAAAATGAATAGTTGTGCCCCCTCAAAGTGAAATTGCTTCATACGGGCCTGTTCATAAAGCATAACTTTCATTAAAAATCAGAAATCATTTCATAATGTCTATCAGGGACTAGTCAGAATAATCTGTGTCTTGGGACTGCTACATTGCCAATACACGGAACGAATTCTACCGTTAAACCGGGTCCGCAGGACGATATCATTTTAACGATAGAACGTTCTATCTAACCAAGGACCTATATACTAGACAGTATATATGTGTGCCTTTTTCTATACATCGATTGCCATATACGGCGATGTTTTCCATTGACACCCACCTTTAAAAATAACGATCTCGAAAGATGAATTTTCTTTCAGAGTTGACGGCGTCAGTATAATACATGTAGTTAGCAATCCTTACCCCCTGTACCTGACCGAAAAAATTAATAAAATTATATATATATATATATATATATATATATATATATATATATATATATATATATATATATATATATATATATATATATATATATATATATATCTTAGAATTTAACTAATTTAGTGTATTACATTGCTTTTATTCCATCTGTACTACTAGTTCTTGTCTGTGTTGTTGCGCTGGAAAGTATACGTACTGCTTATATACATGTAATCTGAGCTTAATATATTTAGAATTACATACATGTACCGAGTCTATAAATTTCAGATCTAAAGTTTTTAAACAGTAGGACAACATGTCAATATCTACACTCCCTTGGATTTAATTTTTATATTTTGTGTACATTAATGGCATGTTTAATTATATCAACGGAGATGTGTTGTAAAATAAACTTACATCAAGAAAAAATAAGAATATAGACATTACCATTATTTTCAATGAAAAGTAAGGGAAAAATTAAATCAGCATTTTGAGATAACAAACTCAAAATGTGTTGACAATATGCTTCATAATTATAAATGTCTATGGAAAGGTTCCTCCAATCTCTACATACTGTAATAAAATGAAAACGAATTTTTATATGTATGTAGCCTAAAGTCAATGACCGTAACGAAATCGACAAGCTTTTTGTAAAGACTTAAACCAATCCTGGTCCTATAGGTCCAAACTCTTTTATAAAGAAGTGTTCCTTTTATGATTCTGGGCCTTATAACATAAACGATATTCATTTAAGAAATGAATTTAATTTTTGAAGATTCATGAGGACATGAACTACGACGCTTCACGCCGGTGTAACGACGAAAAGTGACCCCCGTAGAATATTGACCGGGGGGTCAAATTTCTCCGTAGAAAAATGACCCCCCGGTCAATTTTCTACGGAAAGTAGGGTCATTTTTCGACCGTAGAAAACCCTTCCAGGCCGGTTATTCTACGACTCCACACACGTTGAAAAATGACCCCCATAGAAATCTGACCCCCTACTTTTTCACTGTATTTTATAATTAAACCTTTAGAAATGAGGTGTGAAATGCGTTAATCCGATGTTGGGGAGGGTCGGTGAAGGCCTAGAGTCTCCTGATTTTTTTTCTTTCAAATGTATATTGGAGGAGGAGCAAAGTACCTCCCCCTCCTTAACGCCACTTCTCAATACTAGCATGATATACAATGTATATGGTATGGTTATTTTTGCTTGCATCCCATATATATAATCCGTTTTGTTTTTTCCTTGTTTTTTTTTTCTCACAGGTTTTGTTCCAAAAATGACATGATATGTTTCTGACAACGATATACATGTATGGAATGGATGTTATCGGAAACTATTTAAAGGACAAGTTTGTGGCCCCATACTTCTAGCTTAAAATTTGTGCCCGCTTTCAACCTGCCTCCACCCCAGCTTTTACATGTATCAGTTTCTGAATACACCATTGCATTGAAACAAAAAACGTATTGTATTATTATTTTTAGACAAGGAAAAAATTAGAGAAAGCACGGCATATGAAGCGTCCAATAGCGTCCAATATGGAAATGCTATCATTAACTGTAATTGCCGCTTCATTTTTAATATAATATCTTTTTCCCTCTTTTAGGTTCATTTATCCTTATTTATTACATGAATATTAATACCCCCGCTTCGAAGGAAATGGGGGTATATACCTTGTACCCTGCGAATCTCTCTGTTGTGTGTGTGGGGTAAGAAATGGCTCATAGATTTGTTGTTTCCCCTGTAATTTGTGTACTTACAATTATTTTCTGTAGAATTATATTATCTCTATTGTAGGGAAAAAAGAATGTATCTAAATAACGTTAACTATGAAATACTATATATATATTGTTTGTATCAGGATCGCTATATGAAAAACACTGATAGTCTCTAAAAAAAAACAACTATAGTTTACCAAAGTTAACTATAGTTTAATGCAGTATCAAAGTTTTTACTATAGTAAATCAAAGTATTTTTTGAATATATGATTGTGGTATTTTATGTTCTTAAATTTATATGTACACATTTTTTCTATATTTTAGGGAACTACGAGGGGTAATCAAAAAGTTCGTGAACTATCTCGTTATTTACAAAACCACAGTTCAGATCAAAATGAAATTTGGCACACATTAAGTCATAAACATGTTCTATAAATAGCAGATATGTGCTCCACGTTTGGACGTCACAATATAAATACTAGAGGTACTGTGAGCACTGAGCTCACTAAATTATACCCCCCGCCTCCTAGTTTTGCTCTCGGAAACCCGAAATAAGTGTCAGATCAAAAAGTAAAATAGGAGGTGCACAATGGCATTATGTAATAAAGAATCTGTGAAAGTATCAATAAATTTTATTCAGTGGTATAGGAGGAGTTGCGGATAAGAGATGGGTACCCTACAATATTATAGAAAGAAATGGCAGTGTCCATCTCTTGCTATGGGAAACCCGAAATATGTGTCCGATCAAAAAGTAAAATAGGAGGTGCACAATGGCACTATGTAACAAAGTTTCTGTGAAAGGTTCATAAAATTTCATTCAGTGGTATAAGAGGAGTTGCGGATAAGAGATGGGTACCCCAAAGCGTAACAGACGGACGGATGGACGTACAGACGGACGGACGGACATCCCGATCACTATATACCCTCCCACTTTTCAAGCGGGGGGTATGATGACTCAATATGTAGATGACGTGACAAAAAATGGTTTACTCAGTCGTACTTGATCAACGAACGGCTTAACATTTATCTTAGAAATTCCTTTTCAGTAGCATATAATGATTTGTACACGATTTATGAAGACAAAAAGACATGGCAGAAGTTCAATCATTAATTGGATTGATTGTTTTAGTGAAGGAAGGGAGATGGTAAAAATTATGTTTGTTCTGGTGCCCAGTGAAAGCAAGCCCTAAAATATCGTTTACCTTAGATTTTAAACATATCATATATGATAAAAAGAAGGCGCCCATACTTTATCCACAATGGATAAACGACGCACCCCAATACAAAGAGTCGGGTTGTGATGGTCACTATGCTCATTCTGGAAAAAGATATCCTAATCCACCAATCCTATTTGTGACAAATGGACTGTTCTTGTTATAAAAAATAACTTGCATGGTAAGAAATATAAAACTCGGAAAAATCTTTTAATTTCTGTGAACAGAACGCTACGGAGCATGTCACGTGAACGCCTGGGTCACGTGATTCGCGTATGGGCAGATCCATTATAATAAGAAAACGTGAAATAAAATTTCTAAGTTAAAAAATTAGCCGATTATCCAATAAAAAGATACAACTGAAAGATAACTGAAAGGCCACTGAATTGTATCTGCCGTTCAGTCGACTGAATGATAACTGACAGACCACGGAAAAGTCACAGGAAAGGAACTTTTCAGTGACCTTTCAGTGGGGATTCAGTGGGCATTCAGTTACCATTCCGTCGACTGAATGGTGTAATTTCATCCTGTGAGAACGATGGCAGATGTGCATTCAAATCGGAGAGGATCACTTTAAAAAATAATAAACATCGAAATGTGATTTTATTTCTTTTATGGAAGTAATTCAATTAGTTCGCGAACTTTTTTATTACCCCTCGTATTTCTTGTTCATTATCATCCCAAAATTTTACACTACTGAGTTTCAGCTTTGAAATCTCAAAAAAGTTCCAAAAAAAGTTTCATAGTTTATCAAAGTATTTACTATAGTTAATAATAGTAAACTATAGTTAACTACGAGGGTTGATCGGTAAAATCGTGGACAAGTTGTCTAGAGTAAAAAATAGTCATCACTACGTTCTAAAATTTTCACTATTTTCTAGTACACTTTTCATCAATATACATAGCAAATTTCAATTAGATATGTGCTCAAGTAAACAAAATATGAGACTTTATGTTATGTGTGGTATCGCCTTACGGCGCACGTATGATAACGTCAAAGTGTATAAAGCAGCGTTACGTTTCCTCTTTGCTAAAAAAAAGTTAGGTAAGCCCCACTTAAATTCGGAAATTTCATTGATGCACATACTTGAGTTCCCCTTTATTCCTCCACAAACGGTCAAGGAACCAATCTCTCACACACATGGAACTTTCTGAAGATTTATAAATAAGTTATGGACAGTACTCTCACTACTATTCATCTAAATAGGCTGTCTTATATCGATGGTCTACAGTGACAGCGTCTCTTGCTATTGCCAGTAGTTGTTTGTTGGTATGTTTCGTTCTACCCGGGGACCCGATCAAAAAGCTTCTGCTTAGAAAACTCCCATTTCACTTGTATATTAAAGATCTAGTGATATTTTTTTTCTTCTTTAGTCATTTAAAGTTTCTTAGGGCGTAATTACTACATCTAAATCAAACGGAACCGCTCTCCGGTGCGCCGTAACGTCACCATTTTTCGCTTGTTGCGTTTACCACTTTCCCATTGCAAATGCTAGGGAAACTGCCAAAGTTTAAGGAAATGCCTTAAAAATTTACAGAAGACGACATAATAGATAGTGGATCAAAAATAGGATAATTTTTACCCCATCTTTATCAATTTACTACTTTTATTTCGAAATAATACCGGTACTCATGTATTTTCAAATGAAACCCTGGTTTATTTATTTTGCGCCGTAGGACCGTACCCTGTGTACATTCAAGAATAATAAACACGTACTTTGTTTTTGTCTATAATTATCCAAAAAATTACTATGCACTTAAATATGATAAATAAACAATTGTTGAAAATTTCAGCTTAGTGCGCCCATTATTTCTCGAGAAAAACGCTTTGTTAATGATTTTACCGGACAACCCTCGTATAGTTTACTATAGTAAATTTTTGTTAGGAGTCCCTTCGATTGTGATAGAAATACTTGCAATATGCTCCCTTCCTTGATAATTATATAGATACATCTATAATCTACATCACCATGCATATATGCATAATGTAACTCCTTAGAAGTAGGATTTTTAATGTAAGAAAAAAAGATTTTTGTTTACTTTTATCCTAAAAACTCATATTTTTAAAACCTCGTATCACACAGCAAGATCGCTTAATTTGTGCATGGGAAAGACATGGCCAGATTTTTTTTCTATAGGCTAGCAAATTTAAAGAGTGGGTTACATCGTCGTTACCCACCTCCTCAAAACTTACCACTACAGATACGCTGACACGAATCACGTACTTGAACAATATTTTTTGGCACAGTTCTATGTAGTCTTGCAAACGCAACTTCAATTGTGCTAATATTGCCAATCATACTTAGGGAAAAAATAATATGTAAATTAGGCAGGAAAGCTTTTTCATAATGCAACATTCGGTTTTTTCTATTGGTAAAAATTATTACATGTAACTAGAAAGGGGATATACGTACTACTGTGTATAAACTTGTGTCAATTCTTAGTATACCAAACACCTCTTTTATTAATTAATTATTTTTTTATGTAAAAAGCCTCATTTTGTTTATAGGCTTTGTTGACACTAGCAAACGACAAAAGACATTGGTAAAGATTTTGAGCTAACCATTTTTTGTGTCTCTGAGATCGAATATCAGATGAATTTTTATTTAGTCCTGTCTGTTATTTTTACACAAATTTAATCTTCCTTATATTTTATTAGAAGTTTTTTTTTACCAGAAATCAAAGATATATATGAGATCTAAATTTCTTAACAATTGTCCATTTTTTCACGCAGATTTATTTGGGTAGGGTTCGAAAACATTAATCTTTCTTGTAACTTCAAAAAAAAAAAAAAAAAAAAAAAAAAAAACCTTGAGACTTTATTTTCATTCTTTTTTTCCATTATTTACCCAGAGTAAAATTTAAAGAGGATCATTACAATTATACACAGAAACCATGCATTTTTATTCATATGTAAATTTCTCTCTCTGACACCAGCTAAGTAACTAATGGGTGAATTAAAAAAAATGACCACCAAACTGAATTTTTTTGGCAAAATTCAACTACTTATAACATATTTTTCACTTATATCATCATATTGCAAATGCATTCTAGTTTAAAATCCTGAAGTGGCAATAGAATAGACAATTGGATTAAAAAGTTTCAGAATTTTAATTAGTAAAATTTCTTTTGAAAATAGAAAATATCATTACACCTTAAAAGACTTTCTAAAATACATAATCACAAGAAATTATAGTTTTTTATGCTTCAAAATGGTAAAAGGGGTATAAATGATTAAATCTAGACCTTGAATGAGTATCTTCTCTTGTACATGTGACAAAAAATTGGCTTTTTGATTGTTATTTTACCTTATTTTTTCAATTCTGGTTTGAAAAGTTTTAATATGAAAAAAATATGAAGCAATAAAATTCCCCAAAATTCACTTTTTTGTCCGTTCAAGTCAATTCTTTAAATCTAAGCCAAAAAAGAATTGTTATATACGAGTTCTCTTACAAAAAATACTAGATTTTGAAGTCACCCTATGTTACATTATTGTGTTGCACTCCTGACATCTGATATGTATTTTATTTAACATTGTTTTAAAAATTATAACACACAATAACCCATTCTTACTTTGTAAATCAATTTGTCGTGTTGATATTTTTCATCGTTTACAGCAGGTTTTTCATATTTTGAAGACCTTAAAACATGATTATTTGCAAAGTGTAATATATATAAATTGTATTTAAAATATATGTGATATGATGAAAACTATTCCCTGAATTGACTGTAAAATTTCTGTAATTTGTTGATAGACATAGTGTTTTGAACATCAAATAGTATCAAGCATTTTTTTTCAACTTATTTTTTAGAAAAGATAGTTAAAAAGCATCGGTAATTATGAAGCAGTTTTGTTGCACTCCTGACTGCAGTAAAGTTTAAAATTAAATCATAGAACACAAAAATTCATAAAGTGTTGGCAACATCAAGTGGTAATGAAATTGTGCAATACTTATAGTCCAATACTTCATAATTAAAACAGATGAACGTATTTAAAATTCGCATTTTATCTGGAATTATACCCTATTTTATGCCAAAAAACTAGCTTAAATGTATATTTAGAAGATAAAATATATTTTAAAGCATATTTTCCTTTAGAAGACAAACACAGTAACCCACCAGAAAAATTCTACTCATCATTTTTTCTTTATTTTTATTCTTATTGGATGATTTATAATTCTAACAAATTTGTTGCACTCCTGACCAAAAGCATTGGGGCCTTTACAGTAGAATTGTGAAGTGAAAATTACATAAGAACTTGTTCTGTTGTTTCAGTGAAGTTGAGGAGGAATTACTTGAATTTTATGACAATGTTTTAGTGTGTTTATTTTTAACGTTCATTAAAAAAATCACAAAAAAGATAAAAACACATCTGAATTGATAAAATTGAAAAAGGAAGGATTTTGATTATAAAACTGTCAATAATATAGCATTAAATTATAGAAAAAGATCATTATTAATTAATGAATACTTCTAAGCATGAATAGAAGTCTTTTCGTCACAGAACTTGAATCTTTAAAAAAATGTGTTGCACTCCTGACCATAGAAATATGGATCTGAAGCACAGATAGATCCTGTAATTGATAAATCTATTTGGTAAAAATGTTCTTTGTGTCTTTATTTTCCAAAATAAAAATCAGAAAATCATATAATGATAATAGTTTTTTCATGCTTGGAAGCAAAACATCAAATGTTGCACTCCTGACATTTTTGGGTATGCACATATACTTGACTCTCATTAATGCTGCTTGTGATTTATATAACATTTTTAAGTTTTAAAATGTATATCAGTTATTATTTTACACTTCCAAAATTCTTTTTAGTCTTAATTTTCTATCAGAATTTTACAATCAATGTTTTTTGGCAACACTACATTTTTTCTGTTGCACTCCTGACATGGTATAACATTTTTTTAAACATCAGCCATGACCACAACTTGATTAAACAAAAGTTTCAACAGTCCACATTTAAAGCTCAATACTTTGAATATTATCAGGAAAGTCTTTATTTTCAACATGAAGCATTATTTTTTATTTCACAGATCTCCAAAAAATATTGAAATTTCAAAATGTCACAAAAAGGTGTTGCACTCCTGACAATTTTAGCATCATTTTTAGGCATAACTTTTTTGTTTATTGAGATATCAACGAGATATTTGGCAGGTATTTAGACACTATCTAAAGACATATGCTGAGACATAGAAATCTATTTTCATTGTCTGTAATTTTAGTGTGGGTTGATAAATATGCATTTGGTCATTTTTTTTTTGAATTCACCCTAATCTTGTTTTTTTAATGATGACTCTGGAAACTTTTTTATATAAAATTTGATAAAACAAATCTAAGAACACGTGTATTTTTGCTCTTACAGTCATCGAACAGCATAATAGCCTATAGTTATTTGTTTTCCTTTAATGGATAAAACATCTTGTATTATTGATGTACATCTAAGGTATAGTGTAACCTTTTGTTACTTAAACTTTAAAGCTTATAGGCTGCGTGATTTTACCTCTATGTATTTGCCTTACAAGAATATTCCTACCAAAACCAGTTCTTTGTATTAAAAAAAGACACGGGGTCACTATTCTACGGGGTCATTTTTCTACAACCCACACGGAGAAAAATGACCCCCAGGCCATAATTTCTACGAAAAAGGGGGTCATTTTTCTACGTAGAATATTGACCAGGGGGTCAAATTTCTTCGTAGAAAAATGACCCCCGGTCAATGTTCTACGGGGGTCACTTTTCGTCGTTACACCGGCATATTTCATGAAGCGCGTTAGCGCTTCATGATAAATATGCCGGCGTGAAGCGTATTTTAAAAAGAATCATTCAATTCCAGGCCCGTAGGAAGCAATTTCAGTTTGGGGGGGGGGGGGGCAAAGCCAAACATTTTTCAGTTGACAGTTGAGGGGGCACTACCAAAAATTTTCTGACAAGCAAAAAAAAAAAAAAAAAAAAAAGGTCGTCAACTATATAGCTACCAAATATTCCTTGACAAGCAAAAAAAAAAAAAAAAAAAAAAAAAAAAAAAAGGACATCAGGCGGTTTTATTGAGGGGGCACATCCTTATAGTATCTATGTTTACTATAGCAATCTATATATCGGCCCCCCCGTGCCCCCCCCCCCCCGGTTCATACGGCCATGAATTCTTTTAGGATCAACAAGTTTTCTTAGGATTATTTATCAACTTCAGTGCCACAATACGTTATATATGAGGAAAACAACATATCATTGGTGACACATTTTTATAGTACACTTGGCCCCATAAAATAACTCCTGAAATCAAGTCTTTTAACCGGGCACTATCATCTTTTTATGATTATTTACTATTTATTTAGTAAACCTTCGTCCTGCCTTCTCACCACGGGACTGCATTTTTTTCCTTTTTGTAATATATTTCAATATATTGATACATTAAAAAGTACTAGCAAAATGTGAAAACAATACGATATACTTACATGAATTTTCAGTAAAGGTAAGAGGGTGGTCTGCTACTTTTCTGCTGGTACCTATGAAAACTGGAGACCAGACAAAGATGACTTTCCTTCGGATGCCCTCGGGAACAAAATGATTCACTGGGAGAATGAATGGTGGGTAGACATTAGAGACACAAGGTAAGCAGTACGTGTTTGTAGTAGTTTTTACCATTGTGAAATACGTTGTGTGAGTCGTGGAATGAATATGTATATATAGAATATACAGTTGTAAATGGGTTTTCATTTCACTGAAATTAAAGTCTAGAATTAATTTTCATTTTTAAAAAAAATTGCATTGTCGCAGCGAGGGAGAGGGTTGTCGTCTACTACTATTCACTTATTTATTGATAAAAAAAATTCAGATACATCTTTCCAGACAAATTTACTCAATATGTGGGAAGTGATACGTGTAACCATGTTCTCTGCAAATATTTTCTTATCCATGAACAAAAATGGATATATATATATAATTTTTTTTTTGCCTTATACTATTCTGTCTAAAGAGCTTGTGACTCTCTCCATGGTTTTTTTTTGTTTTGTTTTTTTTTTGTTGTTTTTTTTTTTTTTTTTTTTTTTTTTTGTATTATTCTCTTCATATATCAGAGTTCATGTTTTTCCCCCTACAAATAACTATATTTTTTTTAAAAAAAAGACAAAGATGAGGAATAACTTGGATTCAAATTAGTAATATTCATGTATGTAATTTTCCTCAGGATTAGGAATATAATGGCTAAGCGCATTGCTTTGGCAAAACGGCATGGGTGCGATGCTGTAGACCCGGATAACGTTGATGGTTATACAAATCAGAATGGACTAGGCCTCACAGCTACCAATCAGTTGGACTTTAACCGATTCCTAGCAACAGGTGAAAAGAATTAGTGATCCGTGCATAAGACAAAAAAAAAAACATTTTAAACTCACTTTAGTCTCCGAAAGAACCCATGACCGAGGCAGATATGCTAAATTTTAATTATTTTGGGCTATTCCTTCAAAATGTCAGACTAAATTGGACCCTCGGACTCCAAATCCACTCCTCTTAAACATGTAATAATTTTCAATCTGCATTCGCGTTATTATAGAGGCTCACAACCATGAACTTGCCATTGGACTTAAGAATGACTTGAAACAAATCCATGACTTGATTCACAACTTTGACTTTGCTATTAACGAGTCATGTGAACAGTACCACGAATGCCACTATTATCAACCATTTTTCGATGCCCGGAAGGCAGGTAACGTCATTAATTTTTCCCAATATTCTGAGTATTATTCTTACACTTCTTTCACATGACACTTGTATATATCATTGTATATTTCAATAAGAAAGCTATTAGATCTGTCGCATTTTTGTGCTAAAATGTTGCATGCATTTAAGGACATATGCAACGTACCTTACCTACTGATAATTTTTCGAGATATTCTTAATTTATGATTATAGTGCCATCAGATGTTCGTAGACAAAAAATCAGCATGCATTACCAGGGATTTGAAAAGATATCAATTGATGAAATTTCTTATATAATTCAAACAAAAATTACTAAACATATATTTTAGATGTTTTGTTTATCCAAACTTGTTTTAGAAGAGGTGTACAATAGCATATATAGACATTAAAATGTAGCGTATGTCCTTAAATTTCACTTTTTTCTACTTTATCAGAATAAACAGCATTTTATGAGTCCATTCAAAGACACTTATTGAGGGAAATATTCAGATTCTTTTTTCTTATTTTTTTCTTTTAACAGCCTGTCTTCCACATAGAGTATGTAGATAGTACCTCGGAGGCTCACTCTCACCGCAGTACTATCTGCAGTAACCGCCCCTCTGACATGAACACGATCATAAAAGTACACCTTACTAACTTCAAGGTCGCCTGCTAAATTATATGGTGTCTGGTTTAATGTAATAAAGTTTTCTAAATTTTGCCTGCATGTAATCTTGATGGCAAACCTATTTGTTAGACAGGATTTAAATTGCAAATGTCATTGAGAAAACCTTAGAGTTTAAAAGAATTCATTGATTTTAGAAGTATAGAATACCATGGGTTCTCAATAGCTTCACCAAAATAAATAACAAAGCAATCAACGCTTGAAAATAAAACATTTACATATATTTAAGAATTGTAATTCGGTACAATATAACTGTATTTTGAAATATACGATCTACATTTACTCATAAATTGCAATTGCAATTTTTCACAATATAAAATTGAAATTCCTTTTTTGAGAGGAAAAAAAAAATGGTAACAACAAGAACATTAAATTCAAAAGCAGGTCATTCTTTTCGCTGTGCTAAAAACAAATGGAGAACGGCAGACAATAACTCGTGTAAGAGTAGTTTTGTAGTTTGTACCATTGTACATGACTCTTTGGACGCCCAGTAACTCTTGGGACGCCCAGTTTCTCCTGTGTCAAAATCAGCTGTGAAGATCCGGATCCTGAATGTACTAGTTTTGTATTACAATTTTCTACGATAATAATTTATAATTATAAATTATAGCTGTTATTTAAGGAATAACTGTCTTATTTTTTGGATTCATGATGTGATCAATCGAGTGGCTTGCGTGATAATTTGCATAAACGCCGAAGGCGTTTATGCATAAAATTATCACGCAAGCCAATCGATTGATCATCGTCATGAATCCAAAAAATAAGACAGTTATTCCTTATATTTACATGCTCCTGATTCTGCAAATTCCCATGCTAATAGCCCTGCTTCTGTCTCTATTTGTCCCGCCCCGCACGTGATTTTTTTTAACCGCGCCGATCGATGAACCAGTAGATTTATGTAGAAATAAAGTATTTTTACAATTTGTAATTTTATCTCGGACAAAGACATTGGAAATGTAAATATTCAGTTATCAAGTGCTATTTAAAATCCTTTGTCTTTGACAGCTTTTGTCATGCAGGAGGAGCTTATAAGAACTAATGAAAGATAATAAGAACAAGTGAATTCATAGGAATGTCTGTCCGCCTACCTCAGGAATCTTTGGATAAAATAACTAGCAGTTCAAATATATATCCAAAGCCTCAATTTCTTTACCGATTTATCTTTTTTTCTAAGACTTGTGTTCCTTTTTCTTCACCAATTTCTCGTGTCATGTTTTGCTTTCAATCGGCGCTCAGCTTGTACCGTATCAGATCTTTTAACTTCACTACAGGAAAAAATATAAAAATTAATTCCTTGTTTGTTTTTGAAACCTCTGAGATGGAGACATAAGCAAACGGGAAAGAAGATGGGTGAACAAGGCGTGCAGAATGCCTATAGCTTCAGATATTAATAAAATCATATTCAATTTGTGAATTAAGTATTTAAAATAAAGTTTTCATTATTGAAATTTATGAAATTATGATTAACAAAACTTTTCTGAGAAAAAAGATCTCGGAAAAAATTATTCTTTTATTAAAAAAATAAAATGGTATTCGTGGAATTCGAACCCCTATCAATAAAAATCCGGAGGATCATATTGTTTCGAGACTAACACGCTAACCACTACGCCACGCAGCTCCTGACGAATAGTGGCATTTAAATCGTATTTGTGATATGACCCTTGACTTAATGGACTTCAAGTATTTCTCGGAAAGAAGCGAATGCTTTGTCATAAAAGTGTACTTTTAAGGTATAGTGGGTCTTTGCTCCATGTTTTTGTAAACCAAAAAATGTCTATTTTTATGCAAACTTTTAGGATCAACTTTCAAAAAAATGGAGCGAAGACCCACTCATATCGAAAAATTTTGTTAAAGTGTGAGAAAATGATCCTTTTTGTCCTCTTTAGTGTGTGTATGCTATTTCGTAGGCAAATAATTTCAGTCTTTGTGAGATTTTTGTAAATTGTAGAGATTTAGCATAAAATATACTTTAATGTTAGATGAAATATCAAAGAAAATTTTTATATAATTGAGATTTTATTTTTCACTTCATGTTTGTCGCACTATAGGCACTTCGCCCGCCTTGTTCACCCATCTTCTTTCTTGTTTGTTTTTTAGACCTCTGAGATGGAGACATAAGCAAACGGGAAATTTCTTGTTTGTTTTTGAGACCTCTGAGATGGAGACATAAGCAAACAGGAAATTTCTTGTTTGTTTTTGGGCTCTAAATAGAGACATAAGCAGGAAATTCCTTGTTTGTTTTTGGGACCTTTAGATGGAGACTTAAGCAAACAGGAAATTTCTTGTTTGTTTTTGGGCTCTAAATAGAGACATAAGCAAACAGGAAATTTCTTGTTTGTTTTTGGGCTCTAGATAGAGACACAAGCAAACGGGAAATTCCCTTTTTGTTTTGGGGACCTCTAAATGGAAACATAAGTAAACGGGAAATTTCTTGTTTGTTTTTGAGACCTTTAGATGGAGACATAAGTAAACAGGAAATTTTCTGTTTGTTTTTGGGACCTCTAAATGGAAACGTAAGAAAATGGGAAATTCCTTCTTTGTTTTTGGGACCTTTAGATGGAGACTTAAGAAAACGAGAGATTTCTTGTCTGTTTTTGAGACCTCTAGATGGAGACATAAGCAAACGAGAAATTCCTTGTTTGTTTTTGCCACCTATAGATGGAGACATAGGGAAACGGAAAATTTCTTGTTTATTTTACTTAATTTGTAACGTTATTAAATGGGATATTTCCTTTCTTTATTGTTTCTTTGTGGGTTTCTTATGTTGAAAAAAACTAAGAATTACATTTTGGTTAATTTCTTCTTTAGGTAAGCCAGTTCGTCTTCTCTCCTTAAAATATACAGCCTTGTAGGAAATCCTACTTTGTCGCATACAGTCGAAAAGCAACAGTAGAATGTTTTATGGTGTTCAGAATACGAGGGTCTTTCAGCAAGTCAAAAGGTCATCAAATAATAAGAAAAGCACAGAAAGTACTTTTTTTTTACATTTAATCCTTCAAAGTGTTCCCCTTTAGCCTTTACACATGTCTTAAGTCTTTTTACCTACAACAGGAACAACTTAACATACTCTTTTGGGGGGTAAACCAAGATACATTGATGGATAGCACTCCACAGACATAAAATTGTAGCGTCTTCGAATATGGTTATCTTGACTTTTTGGGAAAAAAATGTCACAATGACTGAAATCTATCTCTCGAGTAAAAGAAAACCCGTATAAGACCTGTTTGGAGTTATGGCTTTTCTTTGGAATAATAGGACGATAGCGTTCTCTCTGTTTCCATTTGATGTGATAGATACATTAGATCATGTTAACATAATTATCTTGCATGTTGAAATAAATGCTAGTAAGTCGCATGTCAACATAATTATGTTGCAACTTGCTTGTATGATGTCGTATACCGGCATTTGTAAATATGTTTACCAACATTAAGATCAGATTATCTAATAAGATTGATAACTTGCTTGTCAACATAATTTTTATGCATGTAGACATAATTATCTTGCATGTTGACAAACTTTTCTCGCAAGTTAACATAATTTACCTTGCATGTAGGGGACAGAAATATGCCACCATATCATATACGCTACACGTTGGAGATGACGTAGCGTGACGTTATTACATAAAAAATACGTCATATTGACATTATTTCTTCTGTTGTTGATAATTTTCCTAAAATATCATTTAATACTACTTTAAATCTTAAAAACTTGTTTTAGAACTATGTTTACAAGTTTAAGATGAAGGGAGAAAAAACTAAACTGGCAAAAATTTCTAATTAATACGTTGGCATATTGTAGAGGGCCCTGGTGACGGAGTTGGGGTTCATTGGACGTAATGTACTCGGGTGTGAAACGCGTTCTATTTATAGTAGTTGTATAAGCACAATAACTGAATTTTTTAAAACAGTTCTGAAAACAATGATTAAGTTCATTACTAAGTGTAGCAAACAAGAAACAAATTAAAAAATAATTCAAAGAGTAACCTGGCATGTTTTTCGCTAATGGTGACGGAGTTTGGGTAGTAGGGGATACTTGTAGGTGTCACGCGTGAAAATACGTTCTGTTCAGACTGAAAAAGTACAAGTCTGCATGTCTTTACAATAGATGATTTAGAAAGTAAAAAATAAAATGAACAATCTAATAAGAACTGGAGTAGAGAACAGCTGGAGTCCGCTGAACATCTCTAAAATTGTCTGCTGTTGAAGACTGTATAACAGACTGTTGGAGTAAGTTCCATTGCATGTGTAACCGGAAGTAGAAGTGTTTGTAAACAAAATGTTAAAGTTAGTAGCCAACTTGGCTTAAAGTAGTAAACTACCTCAAGTTATGATTGTCAACCCAGGTAAGGAGATTTCTGAACTGTGATCAACGCTAAATGAAAACACTGTTGTAAGTTTTATAAATTTAATAAAGTGCATTATGCATAAAATTATTGTATAAATTTTAATACAATAGTCATGCTGACTTCCTTGTCTTTAATAATGCATTCCTAATATATAATTACTCAAGGCAAAGATCCATTATAGATCCTTGTGTCTTCTGTATGTGAAAAATTTCCCCAAAAATGTTTAAATTTTCATACATTATCAGGAAATTAGCAAAAATGTATCTCGTCTCTCAAATAAATGACATAGTAGGTTGTACTTCTTGATTTACTACGATTACCTTCCAATCAATCAAAGTTTGAACAGAAATATATTTAAGGAAGCTCTAAACACTGCTCACTAAATAGTTCTAATTCCATGTTATTTTTTATTTGATGTAAGATTGAATAAATAAGAATCTACAGTAAATGACATCATTTGAAATAAACTGAAATATTCTTAACGATATATTAGACCATGATAAAGTAATTGAATACTTTATTTGCATATATTCTCCCAATGTAGGTAAACAACGGTGATTTCTGTACGCTAATGCTTCAGTGTCTGAGAAAATTTTTCTGGAGAAATATATATGGCTGCTACCTTATATTGAAAATTAACTACATAAACTCATTATACATAACGTGACATAATACAATTTTGTCAAAGCCCGATGCAAAACATCTTTTCTTAGTGTTTAGAGCTTCCTTAAAAATGATTTAGGTTTGCCGCTCTTTTGTTTTCTCGTGATTGTAGTTTGTTGTACACCATAGAATTAAAGAATGTCATCATTACGTACCCATTTTTATTGACAAACTGAAGCTTCATATTTCATAAACTGATAATGTGTGATTCTTTTGTTTGCAAACCATCTAAGAAAGACACTCTGCCAGGCAGATAAATTGAATAAATTGTATAACCTGCAGATAGATATATTGTATGATGTGTAAATCCTGAATTTTACTTGAGGTGATAGCTAGCTTCAGCTTGATTAAATTATATTTACAAGTACAGATTTTACCAAAATCAGTTTAGCATGAGAACAATGAGACTTTCTAGCAACACTGTTCTTTAACACACACACACCCATTGTGTTGAAACACAGAAAATCATTACATATAAACGCAATGATATTTTTCGTTTTTAAAAACCAGTCGCCCGAGTGACGCAGTGGTTAGAGTGTCAGCGAGTCGCGGAGTAAGGAGTTGATCCTTCCATCGCGGGTTCGAATTCCACTGTGGGACGTGGAGACCGGTCCTTCCGATGAGACCGTAAAAACCGAGATCCCGTGTCGCAGTAGGTGCTGGTACGAAAATGATCCATCACTGTTCAATGACCCTGAGTGCCGAGTATAGATCTAAATTTGCAGCCCTCCACCGGCAAGTGGTAGCGTCTCCATCTGAATGAAAATTTCTCGAGAGGGACGTTAAACAACAAACGAAACAAATTGCCTTCAAACGCAATTATCCTTTTACTTTCAAATGTAGGTCGTTTTGCACTTTTTAACATCTTGTAGGGAATATACATCCCAGGTCAAAGTTCAACATTCAAGTAGTGGTACTAATGAAGGTAGTGTACATTTTGGGTAATGTATATTCTACCAACGTTGACATTTATCAGTTTTCAATCTGAAGTTGAAAATGATTACATGACAAATTCATATATAAACATGTACATGTATATTGAAAATCTTTAAGTTTCTTTCCTTGACAATGTTGTAGTAAGTTTTAAGTTTTACGACAAAGTTTTAATTTTCAAAATATGTTGATGGGTTTCTCACAATGGGTACCCTCCCATCCAGAAATACAACGGCACTTGTAATTTTCAAATTCAAACACCTTTCTCTGGGTCAATACCTGTAATCCGGAAGTTGATATCCATGAATTACGTACACATTTACCATGACCTTTGCACAACACAGCACTACATTTTTCAGCAAAATCAACTATTGATTTCACGAGTGGGCCAAATGTTGACTTAATGTATTCTTGGAGAGACTCACAATTTTCCTGCGTCTTAAAGTTCTTGCTAGTGTCCCATAACAATACCCCATCCATTCCTGCATCGAATGATTGGCCTACGGTAGTTATGAGGTCTTCCTATAGAAGTAGATTGATAATGAAATAGAGTTCTAAAATTATACAGCATAAAAATTATTTTTACACATTATTTCAATATCATAATATTCTATGATAAAGGAAATGAAATTGAAAGATTCATACGTAAAAAGCTCAACTTAAGCTTGTTCTTTTGTACTTAGACTTACCACAAGATAAAATTTGTTAGTGTCCGTGAATCTGTATGTACTGTAAGAGTAAATTGGAGTATTGATAGTCGAATAATGTGCACGAACTCGTAAAGTTTCGTTTAGAATTCCCTGCACTCTCTTCTGACGACTGGAGGATGAGGGAAATTTTGAGGACAGATAGATAGATGGATATAAAGCTGTACTGGCACTGAATAACCATTTCAATCTGAGGGTAAAAAATGTACAAAATCTACATCACACTTATAAATTACACATGCATGTACAAACATGGTCAGTGCACGTTTTAATTAAAAAGCTCTTTAAGTATGCTTAATGGTTGGTTCAAGAAGTGAATTATTCAAGAGATCACATACTGATCATTGTAGTGAATGGTATCGTTCTGACAGGAACCTTCGTCAATCTCATAGTTAAAACATCTTGGAAATCCATAGAAACCCCATAAGCCATTTGGGCGTAATTCTATGGCTTTTCTCAACGTATTTTCCATCAACTCTCTTAAGAAATAATAAAAATACATACAAGTATATAGTGATAAAATGTTTGCACAAATATATACATTTTTTTAACCAGGTTGATGCGGTTACCTGGCTGACTCTTCGAACATTTGCTTCGCCATTTTGTCCACCATTGAAGAGTTCCACGTTGGATGCAATGTCTGCACTAGTTTCTTCGATTCCTTCATATAAATCAATTTATCTGGTTCATATGAATTTCTTTCGTAAATTGGTCGCCAGCTCTCCCAGTCAATTACTCCTTTTCCATCAAAGTGTTTAGAAGGAACAAGAACTTCAATGTCCTCTGCTGCCTTTCTGAGGTGTTCTTTGAATGGAACTTTCTGAAATGAAAAAAAAAAATCTTACCTGAATAGTGAATACAAAGAAACAATATCAAAACTTGAAAATAGAGAGTGTGTTTAAAGTACGTTGATTGTTAGCACTTTATTATAAGGCCTATAAAATGATTTTTGGGAAAAAGGTCTTACTTGCGGAATCCCTCCATTTAATGCCGACCCATTAGTAAAATACTTTGGATACAATCCCGGAAGTGGTTCATAAAATAAAACTATTTCTTCTCCTCTGAAGGAGGTATCCTTGTTTGTGATGATTCTGAAGTTTGATAGGTTAAGATCAATATTGTACTTTTTATAACAAATTTCCGAGGGCACATTCCAAACAACGGTAAATTTTTGGTTTTCTTCTGTTAACTTGCTTACGAAAAACAAAAATGAGATGTAAATTAAGGTAATGATAAGTGTTTCATACATCTTATCAGAGACATAAATACTGTGTTGTCCTTATTATCATCATGTGACGGAACACTTGAGACAGAAGTGGCGGATCCCACACGAAATGTCTTATTCATTTACTTTCCTTTTCATCTCCTTAAGGCATAATTAAACTCTAATTTTAAGGATAAAAGGGCATGAATCAAGTACAATTCTTTCTTGTCATAGTATCTTGAACGAGCATATCCGCTTTATAAATATATTACGAATGAGGTGAAGTTGAAGCTGCCTAACATCTGTTACACCGGAAGTAAAAGAAATGTTTGACTGTCCAAACGCGTAACAGTAGCCTACGGTCATTGCTCATGAATTATTTATATAAAATCTCTCACCAGAGGGCGTGCAAGTTCTTCGGTCTTAGTCCACCATATGAAGCATATGATGATATGTTCACTGTGATAATTTCAGACAAAGAGTAAAGACAGAATCACCGAAAAAGTAAGCAAACAACGAAGAGGTTGAAACAGGTAAAGTACAGTGAAGTATGCATTCGATTTTATTATATTTGTCTGTTCAATGTATATTGCACTTTAAGGGGTGTAGAGATATTCAAACAAAATCCTGATGATGCCATTATATTGCACTATTACGCATTAAGTGATTTATTTCTAAAATGTTAAATATATTGCTTTTTATTGCTACTCATGTTTATACAATGTACTGTAAACAGGTTGGACACAGCCCTCCCATCGCTGGTTTATCCCCAGTTTGCCTTTTAGGAGACAATCATGAATTGTATTTACTGACCATATGGGAGAGAATATTTGTTCTATTCAATTTTCCCTTCTTCCATGGAATGGTGCATAATTTTAACTGGTGTTGAATGAAATTTAATTAAGATAATACTAGGTTCAATGAGAGGGAAAAAATGTAATGTCAATGTATCAAAAATATTCAAAATATTTTATTTACTGTGGAATCATTATTGTTCGTGGGGGGCCAATGTTCATAGATTCCGTGGGTCATCCTTACCCATGAGTTTACATTCCCATGACGTTTATTTTGTAAACACATTGATTCATTGAATCTACCTCTTATAAACGAGTACCCCAATACATCCCCATGAACAAGTTAAATTTTGCTTGCCCATGAACATTGACCCCCACAAATTAAACAGTAAAAAGTTCCACGATTATGTTTAGGTAGGAGTATCACTTTTACCAAGTATGCACTATTCTCACATGGAAAATCGAACAAACTGTCTTAATTGTGTGAGGTAAATGTTTAGAAAAATTCTCTAGAGCCAATGTAAATACACCTTTCTTTGTTTTTCTTATAACAGTGGATAGGAATAGAAATGACCCATCATTTGGTCAGTAATGAATACTGATATATGTAATTGTCTCCCAAATAGGAAATAAAATTTAAACATCCTGTAGTGGGCTCTGCCCAACCAGGTCTCAAGACCATAAACTGAGAACAAACTTAAGGCAAAATTTTTGATTTTGAATATCTTGAGTTCTATTTATGTGCATAAAAATCTGCAGGTTTGTATACTATTCAAATCCATACATATGTTGAAAATATTGTGTCATTATCAAAATTAATTAAAAAGTTATACTGATTTGAAAGTTTGACTTAAGTCTGTTCTCAGTTTATGGTCTTGGGGCCTAGATCAAATAAACAAAACAAATAAGTTTTTAAGCCTGATGAATTTCTTTGTTGAGGTAGTTAAGTACACTTTCTGTTGTGTGATGTAGCATGGATAAGTTTTAACTACCAGACCTCCTGTCATGTCTATTTTGCAGATAAGAAGATGGATCTGAAGATGGATGAAGAATTTAATCAAAGAGGTAAGAAATAATCATTAGAATGACATTTATTAACTAAGTACATGTAGATACAATGGCTTGGAACATTCACTCACCACAGTTAGAAAATATTATGTATATGTCCAATCCATTTATGTATAATAACTGTTATATTGCAGAAATGAAAAGAGAAATCCACTTCAGCACAACTTTGTAAATACTAAAGCACTGAAAATTAAAATAAATACTGCAGGGCTTTCAATAATTTTGAACTGATGAGGTGAATTTATATATTTGAATAGGCTGTTTTAGAATTATTTCCCAAGCTTTATTTTGCCAATCATGAGGTGACAAATTCGATCACTGAAATGATGAAAAAATGCCTCACTTCTCTTTATTGAAATCCCTGATTGTGTTCATGTAGAATGCAATATAGATCTTGTGAAATGATTACACAGTGTTTACTATGTGGCATTTTGCTTAGTTTGGGGCCATAAAAGAAGATTTAAATGCATGCACACATCCATTTATTTCCAAGAATGAGAGAAAGAGAATCATATTACTCAGATAAGGTTGTGGCCCATGTATTTCTTTTCCTACGTAAACTTTCTCAATATTCAAAAGGCCTGTCTTTCTTGTCAGGTCAATTTGCAGTGACAGAAGTAATAAAATTTAAATATGGAACCTTAAAATAATAGAAATTTTATATTTTTTGTTTCTTTTCAGCAAAATTGAAACAGAAAGTTTTGCTGTTTGAACTTACTAAAGCTATTACCAATTCAGCAGAAGATGTTGCTACCGAGATGATCGACTGTGGGGCAGATTTAGATGCTACCATAATTTATTCCAAGACCCCATTATCTTATGCTTTAGAGACTGGCTGTGAAAATATTGCCAGAAAACTTCTTAGCAGAGGAGCTGATCCTGAGAAAACAGCAACTTGCGAAAAATCAAAGAAAATCCTCAGACCTATTCACTTTGCATGCAAATTCAAACAGATAAATTTCCTCTCTGATTTACTGAAAAAGAATGTTGACGTGGAAGTCCTATGTAGTGCAGGGTTGAGTGCTCTACATTATGCTGCTGCTGTAGGTTGTGCAGAAATTTGCTCTGACTTAATCAAGTATGGTGCTGATGTAAATAAGCCAGATTCCTACAATCTAACTCCTCTTCACAGAGCGGCAGAAAATGGACATGCCACTGTGATTGACTTACTTGTCAGTTCAGGAGCTGATCTTAGTGTAGTAGATAACTTTGGAAACACACCACTGTTGATGGCTTGCTATTTTAACAAGAGAAAAGCAGCAAAATCCTTATTAGAGTTTTGCAATAACGTAAACATAAATGACAAAGAGGGAAATTCACCTCTTCATATCATTAGTAGTTTTTGTCAACGAACAAAGGAAAGTTTTGTAAAATCAACTTACAAGTTTATTTCATCTGGGAAAGATTATTCTAAGTTTGATCTAATTCATTTTGATGTGCAAGTAAATTTCCTCGTAGATCTTTTAATTTCCTTTGGGGCAAACGTTAAAGCAAGAAATAATCAAGGATTATCTACCTTTGATGGTGCTAAATCTTTTTTGAAGGATCCAGGAATTGAACTATTTCTATTGAGAAAACTTGTTAGCGCTGGACTCTGGATTCAAGATTTTTCTCCTGAAACTGTTTTAACATCTGCCTGTATTACAGACTACACCTGGTCACTGTATGTTCAAGGACTATCTAGTTTGCAGGAACAGCAAATGACACTCAAGCAGCAATGCAAAAATGCTGTTCGAAAAGGCATTCACTTAACTAGCGGTAAAACAATGAAGCATTCTATTGAATGTTTACCTCTGCCAACCAACTTGAAAAAGTTTTTGCAATGATGATACTGGAAATGCAAAAGAAATGAACAGAACAAAAATAGAACTTTGAGCTTAAGGAAGCTCTAAACACTGCACTCTAAAGAGTTCTACTTATAGAGTAGTTTTATGCATTTAGAGTGATCTACCCTTAGAAGTAAAAGCTATTTAGAGTGAAAAGAAAATATCAAACACCATATACAGTGTACCTATGACTACTAGTACAGTTGAACTTCGGTATCTCTAACACGGATATCTCAAATACCCTGGATATGTCGAAGTGATTGGGAAGTCCTAACCACATATTTCTTACGTATTTTACCATCGATATCTCAAACCCGTGGATATCTTGGAAGTCTTTTCTTGGTCCCATCAAGTTCGAGATAACAAGGTTTGACTGTATTTTTTATACACAATTTTACTATTTTTAGCAACGAGTAATATTTGGTAATCTATAATTTTTTTTTTTTTTTCAATTTCCATATATGTTCTTTACTCATTGTTTAAAACCATTTGCTAATATTTACATTTGCTGTGTTTTTCTACAAAGCCAACTGTGAAATTGATTTGAATGTCATTTTCGTGTATACTTACACTTAGAAATATACACGGAGGACTTGCACAAAAGTGATGTCACAATGAGGCTACAGAGATGTTTCTAAAAATGTTACGATATAGGGCAGCGAGAAATTCAAACATTGAGTATATTTTGATGCTTCTAAACATGTAAAATAAATGTAAATATAAGGAATGTTTTTAAGTTTTGTGTGAGTTATTGGTGTGTGTAAATGACACAGACTTGCACGTAGGCATATTTTTCATGAAGCGCTAGCACGCTTCATGAAATATGCCTTCGTGACAAGTCTGTGTGATTTACACACCAATAACTCACACAAAACTTAAAAACATTCCTTAAATAATACCCTAAGCTAGGATTTTTATCTTTGCATTTTTTTCCCGGTGATATTTCACTTAAAATGCCTTTTTTTTCAAGGAAAATGCATGATTATTGAATATTTTTAATAACCAAATGGTTGTTATACTAGTATTTGTGTGGTGTTAATTTTTCTAAGTGTGTTGTACATATGGACTATTATTGTATTACAGTATATGTACTTACTACATAGTGTATCATGTATGTGTTTTTGTCTACATTTTTTTGATTATAGAAATACTGTGTGTCAATTATGGGAAGAAAATAAAAGTTTGCAGCACAATATAAATAAAAATTATTATGAACTAGATATCATTGAGATGGTGACCATTTCAAAGGGACTCAGTTTAAGTATAATGAAAGGGTGTTGTTAAGTACTGTTTTTGGAGAACATTTTGTACTTCGAATAGATTCTTGTAGCTGTTCTCAGGAGAAAAAAATTCCTATATATACTCTAGACAAGGATTTTATATAATGCTGCTTTGACCTCGAATTCTGACCTTTTTACTCAGTTCAAGGTGACTTTACTCAAGGGCATTCTGATTCAAGTATGATTCATATTGGTCAAAGAGGAGAGAAAAAAATGTTCACAAGTTAAGTCACAAAAAGGATTTTACAGAGATATTTGCTTTGACTTACCCCTTTGACAGTAGGCACTCTTTGGGTGAAGTATGAGCTAGATGGATCCTAGGGGAGAGAAGAGAAAATATAAAGCAAAGGTTTTGCACCGAGATCTGCTATGACATCTGACATAAAAACAGTTCAAGGTTACTACACATCCTTCACCTACAAGCACTCCATGGGAAACAAATCAAGAGGGTGAAAATTTTGTTGTGGACAAGGAATTTTTTTTACCTTGCTTGACCTTCCATAAAAAAAATGAAAATCAGCTCAAGGTCACTGCAAATCCTCTACCCATGATACTGAAGTTGGAGTCAGATTGGGACAAGGGGATAAAGATATATTATGGACAAGGGTATCTAAATATATAGCCTTACTAAATTAATTAATACAAGTACATTCCTGTGGTGGGAGTTCATACCACCACATCGCAAAAAATCCCAACTCATTACCACTACTTTTGGTCTAAATTTCGGATGCCGATTACCACTACATCCAATTAATAAGGTGATTGGCAATTACAACTCATTACCGCTACATACACAAATCTACCTGCGATGGCTTGGAACAGAGGTTCAAACTTATTTCTACCATTAAATTTCACCAATACCTTACCATGGGATGATTTGAATATACTGGGTACTACAACTAAAAGGGGGGAGAGGGGCAACCAGACTTTCAATGAATATTTTCAACAGTGAAAGGTTTGTAAACAACAATCCCCCCTCCACACCAATATGACATGCCTGCGGAATACAAGTCTATTCAATATGATTCACTTGCTATGTAGTCAAAGTTGAAATATAGTGATGATGACTATTTTTAAAATGCAGAAATAACATAATTCATCCCATTAATGCATATGTGTTACGTGGTGAAAAAAGTTACCTGTATACATAGTAATGAATTTCCTCTTTTTCGTTGCATGGGGGTTGGGTTGTAAGTTAAACAAAAACAAGGCAGAGGCCTCAGTTAGAACATGTTTGATACCACATAAAATCTTAGCCACATAATTCCAAAATCCAGTCATCATAACCTACTACATGCGTTAGTGTGCCAACTATCAAAGCTAGAACAAATAATTGCATGAATAACAATTATTAAAATTTGATATAACTTTTAGATTGTGAATTGTAGAGCCTATAAGCTTGAATGTTCTTTTTAAAAACCTTGTATATTAAACTAAGGTTGAAGACATTTATTTTTGTTTGTTCACCATATTTCCAAGTCCGCACTCTGCAATACAATGGTTGATATGTGAAATTTTTCATCTGGAGAGTTTTATATTCAGTAAAATTCGGTTATATCGAAGTCACTGGGACCTGTGAAATTACTTCGCTATATCTGTAATTCGTTATATCTGTATAAGAAATTCGTTAAATGTATATAGCTGGGGATCCAAGAAAAATTCGCTATATCCGTGAATTCGCTATATCCGTGTTCATACTAAATGAGTTTTACTGTATACAGAAAACTGTACAGTGTGGTTTCAAATTTCACTGTAAATTTGAATACTGTATATCATCTCTGATAAATTTGTTCCATGAATTCTTAAGATATTCAGAGTATTGGCAATCTCTGATTGCATTCCAGTAACCAGAAGTCTCTGACGAGACTGTAGCTCCACTGGTTTGTACTTATAACAAAGGAAAAGAAAAGTAACACTTGGACTTGAAACTTTGCAAAAGCAATAAATAGAGTAATGATCTTTGATTTAGTCTCTTTTTGTGGCAAGATTTATTGCAATCAGACTAAAACTGCAGGAAGAGTAACCTTTTAAAAGATTTTAACATAAATTTTTATTTTAGTAACCATGGCAACATCATTCATCAAAAAAAAAATGTTAAAACAATTATTTATCTCAGTCTATCTATTTGCATGCCAAGTTACATTGAAATTAAAGCAAAACTATAGAAAAAAAGCAGCATTTTGAATGTATTTCACAGAAATTTGTATTTTTAGTAACCATGGCAACACTTCATCAAAATCAAAAACCAATAAACATAATAATGTATCTTAGTGTATTCTACTTGTGTGCCAAGTTATATTGAAATCAGATTAAAACTGTAGGAGGAGTAGCGTTTATAGGAATTTTACAGAAATTTCTATTTTTAGTAACCATGGCAACACCGTTCGTCAAAATCAAAAACAATATACCCAGTACTAAATTATGTATCTTAGTGTAGTCTACTTGTGTGCCAAGTTACATTGAAATCAGATTAAAACTGTGGGAGGAGTAGTGTTTTCAAGGAATTTCACAGAAATTTCAATTTTAGTAACCATGTCAACACCATTTCTCAAAATCAAAGACCGATGCACTAAATTATGTACCTTAGTGTAGTCTACTTATGTGCCAAGTTGTATTGAAATCAATTGAAAACTCTAGGAGGAGTAGCGTTTTAAAGGAATTTTACAGAAATTTCTATTTTTAGTAACCATGGCAACACCATTCATCAAAATCAAAAATCGATGCACTAAATTATGTATCTTAGTGTAGTCTACTTGTGTGCCAAGTAATATTGAAATCAGACCAAAACTGTAGGAGGAGTAGCATTTTGAAAAATTGTTTACAGACAGACAGACGGACGCTGGACACCTTACTATCACATAAGCTCTTCTGGTCTCTGACCAGTAGAGCTAATAAATGTACTATCTCACTGCAAAAATGGCACAAGATCATTTGGGCAATTTTGAAGGCAAGAAATATATTATGGACCCTCTATACAGTAAACACTTAGAGTTCCAATATTCTACAGTATTTTTTAAGCTTTCAGTGTGATCTGCTCTTAGTTCTGATATAAAATAAAATATAAGCTACTGTGTTTTACTCAATTCAGGCATTCTAAACATTTTATTAGACCAAAGTAAATGAACTGAACATTTGCATGTGTTATTCCCATTATTTATTTTTTCTACCCATTTTACTAAAAAAAAAAACCCAATAAAACAGAAAGTTTTATATTTACGGATTTATCTTCCTAATCAAATAATACAATAACATAATCATAAAAAATATTGTTAAGTCATAATTAAATATGTTGTCACTTTGCTGCAAGACTCATTTTCAAGTCACATTCATGATTGTGTACAAGTAAATAACAGCAAATTTTGGACCATCAAATAGAAGAGACGAACATCTTCAGCTGTTCTGGGCCATGAAGTATCTGTAAACAAAGGCTGCGGCTAAGGCAACTCCCAAGGGCAGCAACCAGCCAGTCCAACTCCTGTAAAACGATAGACAAAAAGTTCATAGACTACAATGCTCACCTGAGTAGCTTAACACTCTGTTCTTCTTCAGATTTTTAAAAAAAAAAAGTTTTTCTCCTTTATATTCCCATGACTAAGGAGTCCCTGAATCCACACAACATGTGGATGCTTCAATATCAATAAGATTAATATGGCCTTGCAGAAGAAGAAAATCCTTTTCCTGTAAACATGCATTATGTAATATTTGATCTTGATTTTAGACAACTCTTCCCCTGGGTCCATAATTTAAAAAAACATAGGTAATCAAAGATTACGAAGCTCACCTCGACAAATGTTATCTATAAGTAAGGCAAATTTCACATCATATTTTTTTTCTAATTAGGGTACATCCCAAGATCAATATCCATGCAAGTTTGGTTTAAGTAGGACTTACAGTTACTTGGAAATAGACCTGCTCAAAAAACTTTTAACCTGTTTACTAATCAAGAAAATTTTGGTCAGTTCCAACATCCAAAGCAAGTCTGGAAGTTTCATCCTTAAATGCACCATCTATGCAAACTTAATCATAACAGGCCATAATATTATATAGCTACTCCAAAAAAAATTACCCTGATCACTCATCTGGAAAATGTAAGTCAGATTCAGAATCCAAAGAAAGTCTGGAAGTGTCCATCCCTAGATACATCATCCATGCTAATTTGGTTAAAATATGGCTAAAATTCACTCATGTGGAAAATCTAGGTCAGATCCAGCATCCGAAGCAGGTTGGTTAGTGTACATCCCTAGCTGCAACATCCATGAAAGTTTGGTCCAGGTAGGGCTTATTGTCACTTGGGAATGAGACTGCTCCAAAATCTAAACCTGGTCTCGCTTGTGGAAAATCTAAATCGGATCCAGCATCCGAAGCAAGTGTGGTAATGTCCATTCCTAGATGCATCATCCATGCAAATTTGGTCCAGGTAGGAGTATTATAGTTACTTGGGAATGAACCTGCTCCAAAAACTTTAACCTGGTCACTCATCTGGAAAATCTTTGTCAGATCCAGCATCCGAAGCAAGTTTGGTAGTGTTCATCCCTAGATGTATCATCCATGCAAGTTTGGTCCAGGTAGAGCTTATAGTTACTTGAGAATGGACCTGCTTCAAAAACTTTAACCTGGTCACTCATCTGGAAAATCTAAATCAGATCCAGCATCCGAATCAAGTGTGGTAGTGTCCATCTCTAAACACATCATTCATACAGGTTTGGTCAATGTACGGCTTATATTTACTTGGGAATGGACCTGCTCCAAAAACTTTAACCTGGTCACTCATCTGGAAAATCTAGGTCAGATCCAGCATCCAAAGAAGGCATGGTAGTGTCCATCCCTAGATGCATCATCCATGCAAGTTTGGTCTACGTAGGGCTTATAGTTACTTGGGAATGGACCTGCTCCAAAAACTTGAACCTGGTCACTCATCTGGAAA